CCCCCCCCCCCCCCCCCAAAAAAAAAGAAGAAGAAAAAGGGTATCTCCTATTCCGAATAAAAATAAACAGAAGTGACCAAAAACTTAAAATGGTTCCATGCCTGAAATTCATACCATGCTTAATGTCGAAGGAAGCCAAATTGCCTTTCTGGTGGTGACATTCGCTTTCAGATTCAACAATAGCAACTTATCTCATTATCACAGATATCTGCAATTTCTACGGGACATCAGTATATGTACAATTTGTACAAGATTGCTAAACACTGAGAAGAACTTAAAATGTATATTAATAGGCAAGAAATGTTTTGAAATTGTCAATAAATCAATTCCTTTCATGAATTTAGAGTTTCATTTTCTCTTCTTTATTATCTCTTACTCACTAAACTTTATCCTACACCTATGCTGCTATGCACTTAGCAAGTGATTTAGACGCTCAGAATAGAGTAAGAAAATACAGAAAGTGTTGATGAATGATTATGAAGAGATCTCTTACTCTAGGATACAGCTACTGACTCTTCCTAAGAGGTGTTGATGCAGATCTTATTACATTCCTCCCCGGGCCATTAATACCAGAAACAAGTTCATCTGCATAAAATACCAGAAATGAATTAATCCACGTAACAATGGTACGGTAGTCTGACTCTAGTGGAAAGTACTTGAATGAATTTTCAAGTAAAGAGGGATATAACAGAGATAACTACATCAAACAAATAATAATATGATGAAGTACGGCCTGCTGAATGCAGCTTTTTGAGAGGATGATGGCAGACTTGCTGTTTGCGGAAATCCTTAGCTTAGCTTATCTGATTAAGGAGAAAATATAAGGAATCGTTTGTACAACAATCTATGCATGCGTTGCCGTATAGGTAAGAAGGAAGTTAACCGTAAGAAAAATTACGCATGCCCAGGAAAACAATGAAGATGCCTACTGTTATACACGAGCTACTGCATTAAATGTAACTTGTGTAACGCAGGCTAAGGAATCAATAAAATAATAATACGAATAGTAATTAAATAACGTCGAGGCATTAATCAAAGCAATTTACAATTCATCAAGCGCTGCCAGAGTGCTAGTGGAGCAGTCAATTAAAACTCCTCTAGGCAGCTTGCAAGGCCGGTATCTGGAACTACATTAACAAAAATCGAGGATATTACTCTGATTTGAAGTTTATTCGTAACTTTTAAAGCTTCGGTGCTTCATTCAAGCTCTGGATCAAACGTAGCTGAATGAGAACAGACTCGACAAAGTGTTTGATAAACCAAAATCGAAAAGGACTCGAGAGATTACCAATATTTCAACAATCGCCGACGAGAAAGAGCGCGAGAGATCATTACAGAAGAACTGAGAGTCTGCATAGTCGGTCGGAGCAGATGCATCTCCGTCTTGCCGAAGAAATTAGCTGCACTGAGAAGTTCAAGATGAGGTTTCTTCAAAATCTCGTGTATTGGATCTCGGGAAAAACAAAAAATAGGTGTCAGTTCCGCAAGATTAAACTTACCTGAAGAAAGAGGTCTATAAGAGAAGCAAATGCCATGGTTGCATTGAGAGAATACCAATCCAACACCCACGCTCCTATTGTGCTCCACTTTGCCCGCTAAAAGAGTGTGGCGGAGAACTATATAGAAGCCTCTAGCCTCAGTTTGAGGGTTTTAGAAAACGTGGCGGGATTTTAGAAAAATAGAAAAAAGAAAGATGAACAAAGTTCCTTCCTCCTACACTGCATTCTAGAACATTTAGACATGATTTTATTTAAGAGCCATATTCCTAGAAAATATAATAAAAAAAATGAACATCATGAAAGTTGTAAATAAAAGGGATAAAGTATTTGGAATTAGGCATGTGCATACGTAGTACAAATATGATCGTAACACATAGCTACTTAGGACGAACTTTCTTGAAGGTTTATGAAGAGAAAAGTTGATTTTTATTAATTGAGCCGATTAAGCAATAATTGTTTTTATTTTTCGGAAGAAAAGAAAGAAAGCCATAATTAAAAAATGTTTTGGAAACCTTTTTTGTTTTAGAAAGAAAAATACATTAACAATATTGTTTCAAAACAATTTACTGTTCAATTTGGTAAAAGTAAATGGTGGTTCTTTTCGGATAACTCTGAAATTTGTTATTCTTCTATTTACCTAATCAAATTGAACAGTAATCTGAAAGAAACGGTTTCATCATTCACAGCGCAAGCTCCCTGTCCAGAGGCTGTGAGGCTGATCTAGATATTTCAGACTATGCAGAATATGATGCAAATTCAAGATTGTCATCTCATTAGCTGGAGAGAGAACAAAGAAAATGAGAGTGTAATACATAATATAGGTTTAAAAAGGATTATTCATTTGGCAGCAGGGAAGCTCCTAGTCCTACCACGTTGTTTCGCATTTCTCCTACGGATGGCCCATCTTTGTTTAATATCAAGAACGCTATCTAACGAGTTGCTATCACATATTCTCTGAGAACTTTGAAGCTCCTTGTTTGTAACTTCATCTTTCACATCTCCCCTTATCCTTTCGGCTTCAGCAAGGAGATCAAGAATGAGCATCTCCGTTGTCCTCGTGGTAATTCCACGTAGATACCAGGAGATGGGCGGTGGTGGAACAATGGCCGGCTCGATAAGCTGTTCCAGGCTCACCCTTGACCCGATTCTTCCTTTGCCCTTTGTGCAAGCATTATAATCTTCCAAATTCTTTGGTTTTGTCGGAATGCACATTCCTTCATCAACAAATAGAGGCTCTACTCTC